GCGACTGTCAAAGTTAGTCACACAGTATATAAGGTGTATTAATATTTTTCTACTAACTCAAGGAAAATAAATGTTGGCGGGTTAACATGATAAATAATATTCATCAGAGAATGACTCTTAGAGTCTAGGTTAAGCACCTTAATTTTATTGGGATTTTGAAATCATCTTTTTATCCTAGAATATTAAGATACCATAAATATAGCTAAAAGAAAACTAGAGAGTTTTAAATTTATGGAAATGCGGGCAGGGGAATTGAGGTTAACTGGCAATTTAAAATTTTCCAGAGACCAGAAATGGAAGCTGATAGTTCCCATCTCACCAAAGGAGGTAGTGAATTCAGGTTTTAATCTTCTTTAAAAAGCTTTTTATTGTGAATGTGTTATTATTAGGTGTCCCCAAGTCAATTCTGACTCCTAGCCACCCTCTTATGCAAACCTGACCGAAACCCTGCCCTGTCCTATGCCATCCTCATGATTGTCGTTACCGTTGCACTCACTGTTACAGCCACTGTGTCAATCCACCTCATCAGTGGTCTACCGAGCGTGAGGTTCTTCTCCAGGGGCTGGTCTCTCCCGACAACAGGTCTGAACTCTTACCATCCGTGCTTCCAAGAAACATCCTGGTGGTAAATGTATGATGATCTACAGAGCAGATCATCGGTTCACACACGTGTATGTGTCAGCTCATCCTTTGCAATCATTTCAGTGTATCATCACTTACTTTTCCCACTTCCTCTCTGTTTCCTGTTTTCATTCTCCTTTCTTTCCCAACCCTTCTTTGGGTTTTGTTTTGAAATGTTGCCTATTTGATCTTAATATAAACTCACCACCTGCCAAGGTAGAACTGTCCTTGTGAGTTTCCAAGGTTGTAACTTTTTACAAGAGTGGAAAGCCCTGTCTTTCTCTTACTGAGCAGCTGGTAGTTTCAAACTGTGGACCTTGTGGATTGCAGCCCAACTTGTAACCACTACGCCATCAGGGTCCCTATTTGATCTTATTATAGCATTGGGGTAAGTTTAGTTCCAGACCTGAAGGTTTACTAAGGACTATAGTCTTAGTGGTCTCATGTGCCTATCTGACAAATATAATTTTGAGTTTATTACACATTTTCTCCCATCTTATCCATGTCTGAAGTTTGTAGTCTTTTTTTTTTAGTTGTATTAGGAGAGTATACTAAAACTAGTTGTAGTTACCTTTAAAGAGACTTGATCATTATATAATGTTAAACAGTGTTTATAATCTTTAATTACTAGAGAAAATATTTGTTTCTTTAAATGGTTTTATTGTGAATTGGATGAGGCTTTACAGAGTAGGTCATCAGTTTTGTAATCAACAATTCATATACATGCTATTGCATATGTTCTTTGCAATCCCCTTAATGTACTGCCCCTTATTCCACATTCTCACTTTGTTTCCATTCCTCTTTCGTTTTTAACCCTCCTAAATGCCTTCTGTACTTTGCACATGTGGTCAGGAAAGACCAGATCTGAAGCATGATTCAGGGCAAGATTTAAGGTCCCAGAGGTACCACCAGTCTCTATCTGACCAGTTAGCCCGCTTTCTGATTTTGAGTTCTGTTCCATATTTTCCTCCCATTCTAACCATTTACTTACTGTAAATCCTTTCAGAGCATTTAGTAATGGTAGCCAGGCGCCGTCTAGTTCTTCTGGCCTCAGGAATTGTGGACACTGATGTTTGAATGGTCCAAGAGTCCAGTGCACTAATTGTTTCTATGTGTCTTTGGATTTTCATCACTCTTCTTTCTTTGGGATGGAGAGAGATCAATAATTTAATCTTAGATGGCTGCTCATGAACTTGTCAGGTCCCAGCCACTACTCACCAAAGTAGGGTACAGAATATTGTCTTTATGAACTAAGTTCTGGTAATTGACTTGGATGCCCCCCAAGACTCTGGTGCTGTCTCCAAGCTCAGCAATTTATTCCTTCATGATGTTTGGTTATGTTTAAGAAGTTTTCATGACTGTACCCACTGTTTCCTGAACCACAAAAAGGAGCCCTGGTAGTGTAGTGGTTATGCATTGGGCTGCTAATCATAAGGTCAGCAGTTTGGTTTCTACTCCTATAAGGAGTTACAGGCTCCAAAATCTACAGAAGTAGTTCTACTTTGTTCTAGAAGGTCACTGTGAATCAGAATAGATTCAATGGCAGCACGTTTAGTTTTCTGGATGCTCTACCACATTCATGGATATATTTGCTGCAAAGGTAAATATAGATTACAAATGTCATCTGTCAAATATGTACTTATTAATGGGTATACTCCTACACTCCCTTCCACATGTGTTCTACCTTCATGTCGATCCACAGTTATTTTAGGATTGTATATATGATAGTTTCTATCTGTTACTTTTCCCCCCCAAAACCATTGTATTGGTAGCTAATACAGATATCATATCATTCCATAGTCCAATCACATCAAGTAGTATTGTACAATTGCTTCCACAATCAGTTTCAAAACGTTCTCTTCCTCTTAACTTTTAACTATCAAAAACCTCTGCCTCCATTTTTGCCAACCTCCCTCTTATTGTATATTATCTTTCCCTTCATCCAAGTTAACCTGTAGCCAGTGACTCCCCCTCTCTTCCTCACCCACCTTGGGAGAGGAATTGAACCATCAGTTTTAGTGTTAAAACCTTTTCCTGACTTGTTTATGATACTGATCTCAGGCAGTATTTGTCCTTTTGTGATTGACTAATTTCACTCGGTATGTCCTCCAGATTAGTTCACAGATTCATTATTCCTTAACATCACATAGTTTTTTCCATTTGTGTGTGTACAAAAGTTTATTTACCTGATCTTCCATTGATGTGCATTTAGATTATTTCCATCATTTTTTCTTTGTCACTAGTGCTGTGAAGATTATTAGTGTGCATATATTTATTCATGTCCCAGCACTTATTTCCCTATGACATATACCCAGTAATGGGATTGTTGGATCATAGGGTATTTCAATTGCCAACTTCTAGAAGAAATATCATCTTACAGTCCCACCAACAGTAGTTATTGGGGTTTCATTATCTGTACCATTGTCACTATTTCTTTTTTCAATTTTTTTTGAACTTCACAATGAAGAGTGAGGTAAGGTGATATCTTATTGATGTTTTAATTTACATCATCCTAATGGCTAATGATGGTGAGAATTTTTTCATATATTTGTTAGCTGCCTGAATGTCTCCTTTGGTGAAATTTTCCATAAATTTTAGAGATTCATTCCATGCCTAATATATCATTTCTGAAAAATTTTCTGTCTGTGAGTTCTCTTTTGTATCATTTAGTGAACTATTTTGATTCACACAAATGTCCAATTTTCAGTAGGTCCCACTCATCTAATTTACCTTCTGCTGTTCATTTTCAGAGTAATTATGCCATGCATTAGGAGGTTTCTTCTTTTTTAATCATTTTATTGGGGGCTCATACACCTCTTATCGCAATCCATCCATCCATTCATTGTGTCAAGCACATTTGTACATATCTTGCCATCATCATTCTCAAAACATTTTCTTTTTACTTGAGCCCTTGGTATCAGCTCCTCATATTTTTCCCTCCTTCCAATCTCCACCCTCCCTCACTCCCTGCCTCACCCTTGATAATTTATAAATTATTATTAATTTGTCATGTATTACACTGTCCGACATCTCCCTTCACCCACTTTTCTGTTGTCCATCCCCCAGGAAGGGGGTTATATGTAGATCCTTGTGATTAGCTCCCCCTTTCTACCCCACCTTCCCTACACCCTCCCGGTATCGCCACTCTCACCACTGGTCCTGAGGGGTTCATCTGTCCTGGATTCCCTGTGTTTCCAGTTCCTATCTGTAGCAGTGTACATCCTCTGGTCTAGCCGGATTTGTAAGGTCGAATTGGGATCATGATAGTGGGAGGGGGGAGGAAGCATTTAAGAACTAGAGGAAAGTTGTATGTTTCATCATTGCTACACTTAGGGAGCTTATTTTATTTATTTATTTATTTATTATCATTTTATTGGGGGCTCATATAACTCTTTTCATATTCCATACATACATCAAATGTGGCAAGCACATTTGTACATTCATTGCCCTCATCATTCTCAAAACATTTGCTTTCCACTTAAGCCCTTGGCATCAGCTCCTCATTTTTCCCCCTCTCTCCCCGTTCCCCCCTCCCTCATAAACCCTTGATAATTTATAAATTATTATTTTGTCTTATCTTACACTGTCCGATGTCTTCCTTCACCCACTTTTCTGTTGTCCATCCCCCAGGGAGGAGATTATATGCAGATCCCTGTTATTGCTTCTCCCTTTCCACCCCACCCTTCCTCTACCCTCCTGGTATAGGGGGCTTATTTTTGTACCTATCTTTTCACCAATAATTTGTTTAGTTTAGGCTTTACATTTAAGGCTTTGATCTATCTTGAGTTGTTTTTTGTATGTGGCATGAAATAATGATGCTGTCTCATTGATCTGCAAATGGACATCCAGTTTTACCTTTTGTTAAAGAGACTTTCTTCTCCATTTAATGTAGCTCAGCCCTTTGTTAAAGACCAGTTGTCTGTAAATATATGATGTTTATCATTTAAAGTATTCAAATAATTTTTAATCATGAGCAAGTGAAAGCCAATCAATGTAGATGCTTACATATTTTATAGAGTAGAAATATGATATGTATATGTAATAACATACTGTAACATTTGATATTTCTGATTCCTTTATTTAAAGCATTCTGGTTTATCTGTGGCCCTCATCAAGATCTAGTACCAGAATTTTCTTAGTTATTGAACTCATTTTTTGTGAAAAAAGTAAATATTTGAATATCTACCCTTTTTGTGAAGAAGAAAAAAATAAGTATTTGAATACTGTTTTAGATCAGTAAGTGAAGTTGATAAAGGTACAATTATTCTAATGGATTTTGCATTAAATGTTAGCAGTTTTAAATAAAGCTAACCCCAATTGTCCCATTTACCCCCTTTCCAAATGCTAAGCCTCTACTTCACTCTGTTTGATCCTGGCAGGCTCTGATCCAGTGTGAGCAGTTGAAGAACGAGCTGGACAGGCAGTCAGAGCGACTTGGAAAAGAACTTGTAACTCAGCAAGAGAAAAGGGCTCTTGAAAAAGAAATGATGAAAAAAGAAATGACAAAGGAGAGAGAAAACATGGAAGTAAAGGTACTTAAGCGCTCAGTTTGCTGTCCACATTGCAGAAGATACATTTATGGCAATGTGGATGATATGTGGCTGCCGTTCTTGAATAAACTTCAAGTTTTAAAACCTTGCTAGCAGTCAACTTTCTTAAAATTTAGACTTCATATCTTATTTTCTATATATTTCTATCCTCTGACCTTTTCAAACAAAACAATGAGGTAATCTGTTATAATAAATAATAAAAAAGAATATGTTATGAATTACAAAAATTGACTTTAATCCTTCCCTTCTGTTTGATTTATTCTGTTATGGTTAGCCCGAGGATAGCAAGCAATCTACAGATACCCAGATTTTATTTTAAAAATTTCAACCTTGGCTAAATCAGAGAAAGATGACCTTATCTCTCATCCCAAAAGAAAGCTAGAAGATAACACACTTATGAAAACTGAACAGCCGAAAGAACATGATTACATGCATAGGAAGAAGCAGGGTTTCCATCTCTGTTTATCTTATTATGGAATTAATCATATTCATTTTCTCGTAAGTATAGGTTTTAATAAATTACAGGATGAGTGATTATGAACTAGATGAATGAAGGGAGAGAATAAAGGGAAAAGGAACAGAGAACTTGAAATACGGTATTTGAAGAGCAGTGAATTGGAATAGGAGTTGCCTGGGACCTACCTTTAAAATTGCTGGCAACAAAGCAGAATTGAGCATGAAGTCACCAAAATAACTGCCATATAGGATCCCTCCCCCACCCAGTGGACTCACAGCTTGTGCTCAGATTGTAGTATTATTAAAACATTTACTCTAAGGTGAATTGACTCATTCAGCAAATTTCTACTGAGGATCTACTTTGTACTAAGCAATGTGAAATCCTGAGGACATATAAAGAGAAGATTCCCTAATCCTACTCACTGAGTTTAAAGTCGTGTGTGGGGAAGCGAGGGGATTTGCTCTTGTCTTAAACGGGGTCCAATAGAGGAACAAAACCAATGAAGCATATATAGATAGATTTGTTTCAAGGAAATATTTCAATTGGTGAGACTAGCAAGTCCCAAATGCAAGGATCAGGGAACAGGCCTACTCACGTGGTTTCAGTCACTGATGAAATTCAGAACTGGAAGTCAGACTAAAGGAAGATGAAGGTATGATCAAGAGAGACAGCTTTCCTACAACAGTTATTTAGAACATGGATTCAGTCCATACCCCTGCGGAAACTCCTTTTCCAACTGCTTAAAACAAATCACAAGGTGGAATGTGATTGATTAGATCTCTCATGGGAGAGATATGCTTCGGTCCTTGACTCCGCGCAAGAAAGAATTCATGGCAAAGCCTGGTTTGTGATCCAAGTGAGTTTATAGAGAATAGAAGTGGCACAAGTGTGTGGGACAATGGCTCAGCAACTCGGGCCTCATCCCTGCTGCTCTGGGACCACAGCCTGGTTCCCACTGCACTGTGTCAGAGCCACTGGGAGAGAGGACCAGAGCAAACCTCTGGCTTCTCAGGAGCCCGTTGGGAGTCGTGGTCGACAATACTGATCGGCCCCAATGGCTGAATTGAATTCACCTGGCTTAGATGGGCCAGTCCAGGTGTAATACCCACCTAGGTGTACCCCCTTTCCTTGAACCTCTGCGCATGCGCAGTGTAACACACCTTCCTGACTGGAAGCTGGAACCTCTGAGCATGCTTAATGGATTCCCTAGTCCCTATGCTAAGTTACCTAACATACCCCACTAAAGAGGTATGGACCCAAATCTTTGGGGTATGGGGGGATGACATCTCTAGCTACTTCTTGCTGACAAAAGGGGCAAAGTGGGGCTTTGGGTCCACACCCTTCCTACTCTGTTGAAAGGGGTTGTCAATTTAGGGCCCAGCATGGATAAGGTTGAGGTGGTCCAGGAGCTGGCACATTGATTCAGAGGCCTTGGTAATTTGAGACTTCTGGAAAAACAAACAAATGGACAAATAGGTGAACAGTTTAAGTGAGGCAAGGGTAAGGTTGTGAGGTGGCAGTGCGCTTGCTCTAGCTTCCATTCAAAGGCAAAAGGAACTGGCACTGTTCCTCTAATGGAATGCAGAAAAAAGGCATCCTTTAAGTCCAGGATGCTTTACCACTATGTAGAGCTAGGAATTTCCCCTCAGAGGGTATAGTGGGGGTGAAGGGGGTGGGGGAGTTAGCACTACTGGGTACAGTGGGATCATTGCTTCGTTTATTATCCTGAGGTCTTGGACCAGCTGATCAGACCCATCTTTCTTTTTAACTGGTAGTATTGGGGTGTTACAGGGGGCGTTAACAGGGACCAAGGTTCATGTTGGAGGAACTTACTAATAATGGGTTGTAATCCTTTGATGGCTTCAGGTTTCAAAGGATATACTGTCACTGATGGAGAAACTGGGTAGGATCTTTTAGGAAAATCTTTACAGAGGTAGCATACTTAGCTTTGCCGGGGACTCATATGTCCCAAACTTCAGGAGTTAGGGCTTTTTTCCTCAGTTCCTTTGGGGGAAATCTGTGGCTCCTCCACTGTGAGGAACATTTGGAAGGCTGTAGAGGGACGAGGATGAGGCCCGATGACTATGCAGGTATGTAGCTTGGAGAGTATATCGCGGCCTAGGAGAGAAAAATAGAAGTTATCCCCTAGGCACCTGAGGGGTTCAGTAAAATGTTTAACTACAGGTTTTCCTGACACTCCCAGGTTGGAGCAGGTGCAGGGTGCCAGCAGTTCAGGGAAGGAGGTAAGGACAGAATCGGTGACCCCAGTAGCTAAAAGGAAATTTACTGACCTACCTGCCACATTGATGGCTCACCCTAGGCTCCAGACCAGTAACAGCTATCTCTTGTTGCTGGGCCGTCCAGACCGGACACCTTCAATCCTCCTCCGTTATCAGTTGCATGTTGGCCTGTGGGCGCCCTTCCTCCAGGTCTTTGGCCTTAGGACAGAGGCCAGCCCAGTGGCCAGTCTGCTTGCAATGGAAACATGGTGTCCGAGGAGGCTTGTTCCAGTTAGGGCACTACCTACCCCAATGACCTGGTCGCCCGCAAATGTAGCACTTGGTCCCTGGTTCAAAGGTCTGAGAAACCTGGGAGGCATTCGACAGGCATTGGTTATTAAGTGCAGCCAATACCTGGGAATGCCGGATGTCCTTCCTTCTCTCCTTCTCCCGTGCTCGAGCCTCCCCTCCTGCTCCCTATTGTAAAAGGCCGTATTAGCACAAACAACCATCTATAGGGTAGCTCCTTCAGGCTTCTGCACTAGTTTTTGGAGCTTCTTGTAAATGTCCAGTGAGAAACTTGTCCCTGAATAAGACTTGCCCCTCATAAGAATCTAAGTCTACCGCAGTATGATTCTTCAGGGCCTCCTTTAGCCACTCTAAAAAGCCTACAGGAGAATCTGTAGGTCCCTGGTGATTCGCTGTCACTTTGGCCTAATTAATGGCCTTTTGCCTACCTGCCTTTAGTTCATTTGTAGTGCACACCAGGAAATGTTCCTGCACCCACTTGTCCTGAGGCTCACTATGATTCCGAGCAGAGTCAGTTAAAGGCACAGCTGTTTCCCCTACTGGGTACTTATCATTCATCACATGTAACTCCTCTGCAAACTTCCTAGCACCTTTGAGCACTTGTTCTTTCTCAAAGTCTGTCATAGTCTGTCCTAGTATGACCATTACATCCTTCAAGGTTAAATCATAGGCTACGGTGAGGTGCTGGAAGTGTTCTATGTACTGTTCGGGTTTATTAGAGTAACTGTCCAAGTAATTTTTTAAAAAAATCATTTTATTGGGGCTCATACAATTCATCACAATCCATACATACATCAATTGTGTAAAGCACACTTATACATTTGTTGCCCTCATCATTCTCAAAATTCGCTTTCCTCTTGGGTTCCTGGAATTA